TGATCTCCTGACAACGACGATCCCGCTTTCTCAGTGAGTAAGACTAACAAGTAAGACCTGTATTAGCGGTTGTCACTTGGGGCTTGTCTCGTGCGAGATACTCAGATTTTTATTCAGACAGATCCAAGTCTTTCAGTGGAATTGTACGTGACATTTGTGTATCTGTGATCACGATTCAATTGAACAACTCTCACTCAACTCTGAATTGAATTCTGAATATTTCACTTGGGACGAGGCTCAAGTGATAACTATTAATAATAATAGTTAGTATAATAAATAATTAATGCGGGCCTAAGTGAATCAATAAAAGTATTATTGATTAATTCAATAAAAAGGTTATTTCATCGCTAATCAACAAATATAATATACAAATGTAAATTATATCTTATGTAAAATTTCTATCTCTCTCTCTCTCTTTCTAACTTTCCGTGTTTGTAACGAAGGAATTAACTGCTTTTATGCGTCTCGCGTGCAAATAGCACTGTCTATGCTCTCGCAAAATGCATCAACGATAGGAAGGTACGTTTACTATTAACTGACTTCTTCAGCGAGCTTTTACTGTGATTGCGGTGATATACTTCTGACTAAGTACAACATTCCAGTGGAGAATACACTGATTGTACTTTAGAGAACGCGGTATTCCCGCGACGGTTTCGCTGACAGTGCAGCGTCGCGACCGGGACTCTTGGCAGGCTCTTCCACGACGCGATTATTCGACGCGAGACGCGCCGTTTTCGCGCGAGCGATCCGGCCGTTTCGAAATGTCGTTTCGAGTTTCCGCACGACACAGCGAAATGTATCGGCACGCGAGCACGCCCGTTAATTACGTCCGCGCGACCGTCGCATTCCTGTGTCGTCGTGTGTGCCGTCGCGGATCCGCTCGTCGATTCGCGCACTCTCGTCGACGGTACGTAACGAGTTTAGCGGCGCGTCGACGAAACGCGCGAGCCCGTCCGCCTGCCCGGCGATGTGAAACGTGCCGATGAATGCAGATTTTTCAAATTCTCACCCGCGCAAATACGCTGCCGCTCGCGTGTTACCTCTTTACCGACGAGTGCTGCCCTACGATGTACGCGTGTGTCCGTGTGTGGCACCGATTCGCGTCTCGTTAACGGGAAATCGCCCGTGCGCGTCGCATAGGTCCCGAGGAAACTAATTAGCCATAACTTTCCGTAAATGGATTTTAGCGCGCGATACTGCACCGGCTTTATTGCACCGCTCTTCTCCTCTCTCTCTCTCTCTCTTGCTCTCACATTGTTGCAGCTGTGAACATTATCCGCGAATTTATTTCAGCGTTCTATTAACCTACGACAGCCCATTGTTGGGCTTGTTTAAAACTGCGCAACTTATATAATTCGTCCTTTCTTTTCTTTTATGCATATCTAGAATCTAGCAGTCATCTTAATATCATATTTTGTTTCGTACTGATATTTTTTTAAAAATTTACATTTTCCTAAAAATTCGTTGCACTTTTTCATGAAGGCAATTGTTTATTCTGTTTAAACAAAAGAATTTGGAGTTAAGCAAGTATGTCTTCAGTATCCGAATAAGTATTCTCTATTTTTTAGATAAATTTTCTCGTAGTATATAATATTTTAGTGAAGTATAGATCAATTTTGGAGGAAAGATTTCTCCAGATATAGCTTGATTCGAATGTAAAATGAACCAGAGGGAAGAATATTGGGGAAACTTTGGCTTTTTCACACTTAGAGTCTCGCGTGTTTGAAACATTGTACTGCCAATTAGAACCTACAATTATTTGGGGTATTCAATGCGATCCTAGGAAACTTTCTACTTGAGTCACTTCTTTTTCTTAATATCGTATCGCCATTCGTGCCATTGAGGAGACAGGCGATGAGCGTGGACGCGTCGCCCTGATCGATCGATCAACGATCGTGGCGCACTTTCCCATGTTATGTTTCCCATTATGCGCCGCGATTTTCTTTCCGAGACGGTGACAGCTCGCGCGACGAACGGCCGACGCCAAGCGTGGCTTTTTCGCGCCGAGCGTTCTTGACAGTTGATAAGCCGTTGATAGCGTCTACTCGCGAAATAACGCTCTCGTAATCAATTACGTTATTCCGTAGGTCGCCGGGGAAACGACGCAAGAAGGCGGGGCTGGGGAAGTCGAGTTGAAATCTTATCAGAGAGCGCCGCGCGAGACGTGATCGATCGCATATACAATTTTCTCCTCCTTTTTCCGACTCGTGTCAAACTGAGAGCATGCGTGAGAAAACTCACGCTCAAATATCTAACTGCCGACCTCTCGGACGTGCACTTTAGACGCGCGTTTGCAGGGAGGGAAAGATATTCGTGTGCACGGTCGCCGATAAGTAGTCAATAATAGGAGAGGAACTCGGCTTCAACTCCATCCAATTACCGCGAGTGTGAAAGTCTCGTAAAGCGCGCGTGTGTCCGGCAAGTACGTTACTGATTAGATTCGTTCGTCCCGCTCTCCCTCGTCGACGTCACATATCGTCGCGCTCCTTCTCGTAACACTCTAGAAATTGCCAGCCGTGTCGCGCGACGGTATCGCGCTTATTTGCGGATATTAACGCGCGCGCGCGACCGGCAACGCGCGAAAAGAATACCGGCGCGGAATACGCTTACCATGATATCAATGGACTCTCGCCACGCGGGACTACAGCGCGTTCAATTACGGTAATTAGATTTTATAGTCGTCGTTTTAACTGCTTGGCCGCGCCGCGCTTATCTGCCCCGTCGCGAAATTACGCCTTGTAAAGACATAATAGGACTAGGTGATCCAATAACATCTCTCCCGCCGTAATATTTATCTATTCGTCACGGTGTTTGCCGTAATGATCGGCGCGCCGGCGTCGCGGCCGATGTTATTACGATTACAAGGTTCACGCGATGAGGGGAGACGGCGCTCTCTCGCGTCGGGAAAGCCGTTATTACTCGGAGCGCATTAATTACGGCACGCGGAGATGTGTATTAAAAAAGTACATACATATTGTCGTAAAAACTCTCTAATGACACGCATTAATATTAGATATCGTGAATACACGTTGAACGATGGCCGCACTAACCGTCGCGAGCGTTACAATCTCGGGCGTATTTTAATTCTTTTCGTGCGCGATCGCGGTCTTAATCTCGTTTGTGCAACAATTTGTGGCGAATAAATCGTCGCGGTACAATGTAAAACGCGGAGTCTGTGAAGCGTGCGGGAGAGAAAGAAAGGCAGAGAGAAGACAAATGCATTTCGATTTGTATAGATTTATTCGTCGAATTCTCCTGCATGTGTGTGTGTCTTTTTTCCTTCCTTTTGTCTTCTCTTCGCTTTTTGCGCAACGCGACGCGCGAGGCATTGAATCCGCCTAGAAAATTGTTGCTCGAGTACTCGGGTGAGAAATGGCCGTGCTTGATTTATGAGGCAGAGAGCGGCTATTTCTCCGACTGCTTAACTATTGTTTCCTGACAATAAGCGTATATCAGATATGAACGACACGAAGAAACGTTTTCTATCATTCATCAAGCTGGCACTCGTGCGGGAAGTGAAGTAATTACACGTTTTCCTGTGTCACTTGAAAGGACCGTCTTATCCGTGCAAAGTTGCAAAAAACGCCGGCAATCGCACACTTGTTTCGGCGCGAAGTGCGCATGATAATTGACCATCCAATAACGAAGCGAGTCGTTCGATATATCGCGCGAGCCGTTGATTGGAAAAATAGATCCCTCGCGCGGAACGATTCCTGCTCGCGTCCGTGCATCCTCTCAAATCGACCTCTGCCGGGACGAGAAAGAAAGAGAGGAAGACTCTACTACGCTCGACAAATACTCTCTAATGAAATTGTGCAATCGATAATCTGGAATCATTAGTTTCGTTTCGCAAGAGTGTCCAAAGTGTTGCGTATTTGCGTGAAATACACGCGCGCAGTATGAGAGAAATCGTTTCGCTACGAATCGCGGGATTATTCTCCCGCGCCTCCCAGAGAGCGCAGCACAATTATACAATATATATTTGCACAGTTGCGGTCGCGCATTCGCCTATGAAAACGCGCAAGTGTTGCGGCGAGCGTTAACGCGTGTTTCACTAATTAATTATTATCTAAAAAACGTGGCAACCAATTCCCCCTTCCCCCACCGCCCCTCCGATTCCACGAACGGGCGTGTATTACACACACACACACACGTGCGCACACACATCAATCGTGACAGTAGTAAATTGCGGCCGTTTAACAAACGTTACCTCGCACAATGGCGAGAAACATTTTCTCCCGGAGCTGCGCGAATATTTTCTTCTTCGACTGAGAAATTTATATACATTCGGTATTTAAAAGCCATTATGTACGCGCCTAATGAGAAGTTCTATCGGCGGTTATTGAGCAATCGCGCTCACACCGACAATGAATACGTAGAGAAAGAGAGAGAGAGAGAGAGAGGGGAGAGAAAAGTTTCGTTTTCCCACTCAACGTCGTTGAACGTTCCACGGCATTCGGCCGAATTAATTGATTAATTGCCGAATTAATTGGCCGAATTAATTACGACTAAATACCGCATTTCGCCAGATCGCGTTCCAGGCTCATACGTTCGGCTCAATCTTCGCGTTACGTGAACGGCGCACGTCGCAACGCGGGAATGAGTTTTGATTAATCGCGTTATTATGCGGGCTCTTCCGGCGCATTATATTTTCGCATTAATATATTCCCGTGTAGAGGAAAGGGAGAAAAAAGAACGCACGAGTGTTCGCATTCTCACGAGGCTGTGTAATGCGGTTTTCAGCGACGACGTAAATCATCGCATTGCCTGTGATGAATCGCGGTCGTTCGTCGCGACGGGCGTCTCGCGCGGCTGATCGAACCGACCAGTTTTATCGATCACGTCCGAGTCCATGATAAACCGTCCGACTCTTTAAGCAAACACATGGTGCCGTTAATTATCGTCACATGACGAGCGTAGGGTAATTCTGGGACGAAAACCAGTCAGTCGGCCGATTGGATTCGGCGGGCTATCGCTCAAGTAGAGAGACAACTACTCACCCGAGGAAGGCCTGTCCGAGTATCTGGTGCAGTAGACCCACGCTGGCCACAGCATCTTCCCAGGGTCGGTGCTGGTAGTCGTTCCGGTAGAGTTGGGTACCGGGTTTCCGGGTGAGACGCCCGTGGGAGACGCGTTGGTCGTCGCGGTTGTCGTTGTCGTCTCCGTGCCGTTTCTCTCGGAAGTATCGGAGGACGATTCCAAGAAGTCCTTGGTCAGATCAATCGGCCGCGAGACCACTTTTTTGGGTCGAGATTTCTTCAAGGAGATAGGATCCGTGATCCTCCGGCCGAAATCCGCCTTGAGAATATTGTCTATACTGAACTTGAGACCCGCCTGATGCTGCAGATTGTTGTTGTTGTTGTTGTGGTTGTTGTGATGGTGATGATGGTGATGGTGGTTGCCGTTGTTGCCGATGCTGTTCTGCAGGCCGTTCGCGGCGACGACGGCCAAGGTGCGTCCGTTCTCCTCCCTGGTGGTGCCTCCGGGTGAGGCCGGGCTGCCGGGATCTCGCTGCAGGAGCTTGCTGACCGACAGCCGATGCTGGTGCACCGAATTGGCCGGCACATGCTGCACCTGCGAGCCCTGATGCAGATGCGTGGTGTGGGCGTTCGCATGGTGCAGGTGTTGGCTGTGGTGCGGCATCAGCGAGGTGGCCTCCCGTGGGTCCCTGCAGGCGGCAGGATGGAGAACGGGCGTCGTTGCCTGGAGCCCGGTGACTGTCATGGCCGACGGCGGCGACAACGAAAGTCTCGTAACTAGAGGCACGCTTATGGGTGTGCGGTGCAACCTCTCGACGGTCGGGTAAACGATCTCATGGCTTAGGCCGTGCTGCACGCGCGCCGGGTAGTCGGAAATCTCGGCTTCCCTGGAGGAGTATCGAGAGAGGAGGTGTTGCTGATGACTGGATTGGTACCTGGGTACGATAGCCTCTTGAGTGGCTTCCGGCCGACCTGGAGACGAGGCAGTGGCCGATGAGGAAGCCGGGGATCTGACGGAAGATGCCGTAGGAGACGACGGTGGTTGGCTGTAGCCGGGTGGACTCGGTGCCGCTATGTGATTGCCGGGTGTACGTTGGTAATAGAGGTCGTTGCAGCTAGTGGAGCTGGACGGCGACGGTGTCGCCGATGTTCTCGTGTTTTCCTCATCGCGAAACTCACCCCGGCTGCTCGCGGACTCCTGATCGTATCTGACGGAGCCGCGTACCCCGACCACGCTGCTCGGCGTCGGCTCGCTACCGACGCTCAACACCTCGCTCGTGTCGCTCTCGCAATCGCTGTCGGCGTTGCACTCTGTCCCTACTCGCGTTTCGTCGCGTTTCTCCGCGTCCTCCCGTTCCAGTCGCAACGCCAGGTGGTTTGATCTGGCCTCCGGCAAGTCAGAGTCTAGACTCACCGGCTCCGGAGGTGTGCTCGACATTTTCTCCAGAGGTAGCACCCGCCGCGTGCAGATCAATTCAGCTGTCCCGACGCGATCACAACGATATTTTCGCGGACCGCGAAAATCTCATGATGCCCTCTTCCGCTCAGTACACCTGTCCGAATCGACTACCAATTTCCCCCCAGAGTTCTCACATCGTCTGGCACGACCTACCCTGAAACGCTCCGTGTAGCACTGATCGACGTCATCCTCGGCTCTGTGTCCTTGTCACGAGCTACTCGAGACGCTCTTTCACGACTTCTTCTTGATGGACATGATCGATCAGGCCGGTCGTAACACGACGATTTAGTGTAAACCTTTTACTTGATATTTTCTCGCAATTTCACACTTTCGATGATTACTTGGACGTTTTGGGGTCTAGCTAAGCTGCGTTCCTACCCTGCTGCATTCCGACGGACAGTTTCGCGGACTGTTCGCGAGCGACATTGACACTCCGTTCCATTCCCATGGTCACTCCGTTCTTTCTTGTAGACTTTTCGGTGATATTACACCACAAACTATCTCAAACGGACCCTACACTCATTGAACGAGCGAATCCTTAGTCTCAATCCGCGAGTCCCTGTTGGGAGTGTCTTGCCATTGTCCGACGTGATGTATCCTTCTGTGGTTCTCGCTGTACTATCCCTAACAGGCACTCTCACATGTTTCCTGATCCTTAATCGGTCGGAGGTTTCCTAGGAGAGCCATGCAGCGATGTCACTGATGTCCTGAACGCGGCAACAGTCGCGTACAGGTCCTCCTTGGACGGGTTGCTTGTAGTGTCCAATGTTCAGCAGTCGGAGGTATCCGCGGCGAGAATAAGAAGGCCGTCCTTCCGGCTCGTGACACGTACCGGCGTGTGGAACGTGGAAATACCTTTCGGTCGCGGATCTGCTGGTGGAGACGCGGGTCTTTCTCGACGGAGCCGTAGTGTGCGACGCCGTGAAACCAGACAGGGCTGGTTGTCCAGTTGGTTGCCGCGGAACGTCTGCGGCGAGGAAGCGGCGGGAGGGCTCGCGATGGGCGTTTCTGGGTGTATACCCGTACACGTGCACGCCTCCACGTTGACCCCGTAGAGACCTGGACGTGGTCGTGGGGTGAGTTAGCTCGACATCTGGTGTTGGACGCGCGAACTCGCCATTCCGGAACGCCCTGGCTTACCCCACTACCTGGTGCCGGTGTCTCGCTGGTTCACCTCATAGGTGCTTGTCATGTCCCACTTCTTCTGCCTCCACTCTTCTGCCTCACCCTACCAATTCCGCGCGCGACGGCTATAGCCTTCTCCGTTGCTCGCTCGGAGAGATGGTCTCCCCCTGCCTCCTCCCTTCTGCCGTCCCCTGTTCGCTCTACCAGCCCTCCTTCCGCCCCCTACAACACAGCGAGGTTGTTGGATATAGAGTCTACCGAAGTGGCTGCTGCAGTCGCGTCTCCCTCTCTTCCGCGCGGACTTTATTCCGTCTCTCAGCGTGTACTCCGTGTTTCTTCCGCGCGCGAGTCCTGTCTCTGCCCATAGGTGATCCAGCTCCGCGGCCTATGCCGCCGCTACCTCCGTCCTGCTCAGTCGATCGTTTTATTGCCGGTGTCTGTCCCTCTCGCTTTTATCCCCACCAACAACACCCACCGTCGTCTTCGTCGTCGTCATCGTTGCCGCTTGTTTCGTGCTCTCTTTCTCTTTCTCCTTCGTAGTCGCTCCTCTCCTTGTGTTCTTCATTCCGTCTGCCTCGCCTTCGTTCTACACGTCCCCTCCGACCGCACCGTACGCTCATACGCGATCCAACTCTCTTAGCTGCTAGTACACTTAACTGGAATAGCCTCTTTGCATCTATCTTCTTCGGTTAGGTGAGCCGAAGATGCATGTCCAACACACGCCGGACTATGCGGGTCGCTACGTCTTGATTGGTCCCTCTCACCTTCTTTGTACTTTTTTGGTATCCAGGGGTTACTTCGCACGAATTTCCCAATTTTTGCGAGACCTGCTCGCTGATCCGGCACGAGGGATGCGCACGAGTTGGCACAGTTGGCTCTTCGCGACGTCGGTGTGGAGTAGTAGTATTGATTTACGTGCTGGAAGTTGCGCGCGATCGCAGGCTCGGGAATTTGGATGTGTCTATAATGAGGCTCTCTTTACCTCATAATTATGGGGGGAAGGAACTAAATGAGAGCAGTCTGAGGGGGAAGCTCGCGTGACATGAAAATGCAAAGCGGATGAAGACCGCGAATCATCATCGGCGCTGATGGAATTAATCGTCTATCGATTCGCCGCGATACCTGCGCTCCTCCGCCGAGGTTGGCGTGCGCACGGCTCGTGAATCATGTATTCATTTTTCGCCCGACCAGCGCGAGGAGCTCGCGTCAACGTGATTCCGGGGCGATCGTTGAAGCTCATTATTAGGTCGATCTTCGTACTTCGTTGGAGAACGAAGACGAAGTATCGGCAATAAAGAGGCCATCAGTTGATATTGGGTCATCCTAGACGTAACACGGATCCTCAATCAATTAGTAATTACGTGAGCCACTAGGATAGACATAAGAAAGTGACAGGAAGATACCACAAAGTACATACAAGGAAAAATACGATTAGTATCGGCAAAGATGATTTCTCTTCGTTTAAATGTGCATGAAAGAAGCTGAGAAGAAAGTATTTGTGACTACAATCACGTACAGGGAAAGAATTGTAATCAGAACCATTTTTTGTAGTAAGTCATACTACAACGTTAATGATAATAATTTTACAATGCAAAAAATTTCGTATTAAATTCAACATATTTTCCATGTTTCACTTGATCTACTGAAATTTTTGTGTTAATTTAACACGAAGTAAATATATAAACGAATAATGCAACTCATCATAATGCATATTGTTAGCAGCACTTTGTTGTTAGAATAACAAGGTATAGTTAGCGTCAAACTAACTGTAAGTGACATCCACCTTTCTTTTCTGTCAGCTGTCAGCACATTATTGATTTTGCGTACGCCTTACGTCGATAGTTCCGTCTCCCGTTTCTTTCTTTTTGTGTGACTTGAGTCAATATACGCGGTAGGATGTACTGAAGGGGTTCAACATATCCGCGTGAATTGTATTATTCCGATGAGAAGCAGTTGTCGGCCACGGACGCGCGCTTCGAAAACGCGTTCGCCTCTTTCCCGCCGTCATCTTTTTCGTTCTCCCAGGCGATTTCGATTCTGCGGCTTCGCTGCTTGCGGTTTTAATGTGCGTGCGCGCTTTTTTTTTTAATTGACATTTTAAATAGAAATTCACCGCGAGACGTACATACGCACACGCCACATGTGCATACACACACACACACACACCCTCGGCGGCCATCAAAGCTCGGCCACCGTAATGACGCATTGTCAGCGGCGTGTTAACACCTCGTAAACTTGAACGCGAATCCGACACTCGGCTAGAACGGCGAATGCGAAGCCGAGCCGTGCCTTCGCGAAGTTTGCAAATTCTTCCCCGTCCAATTATTCACTCATGTTACATTACACCGTTCGTGTTAGTTACTACAATGAAATTGCAGTTATTCTCGTCACGGAATGAGATACGTTCGTTCGCGCGCTGCCTCGCGCGCTGCCTTTCCTCATCTGCGCTCAAAATAGACCCTTCGGCTCGCGATATACGCGAATCAGTCTCGGCAAAGTATAACTCGCGTGTACCCGAAAACTGAAATTCGCACAGTCGTCCGGGCGCCTTTCGTCGTCGGCTGTTCTTCCTTTCGTTCTTCCCGACTGGGAATTTGTCCCATGCTCCTGATCAGGTTGATCTTAATCAGTTATCTGGTCGCGTATTACGGAGAGGAAGAGAGTACTTTATAAGAATCCAAGAACAAGTTTATAATAACATCTCTGGTCTCTCTAAAGTGACGTGTCGGGCCTTAATGATAAAGTCCTAATTATTAATAATCCTTGTTATTAATAAGACCCCGATTACCACGCTGAGTCACATGACTTAATAGGACTCGATAATATCACCTTGTCCAAACCGGGCAACTGATTGGGATCAACCCGATCGGGGTATATATTATGGAACTCTGCGGAATCGATTCCGATCGGAATAATTTCGTTTTCTCTGGAAAAGTCAATGAAAATCCGAGGAGTGACGGAATAATTCCGATCGGAATCCCCATTCCGAGGAGTTCCATAATACGTGCCCAGGACCATGGGATGAATCTTCAGTCTGGTCTTCGTGGCTTCACTTCGTCCTTCGCGTCGTCGGTTTCTTTTTCCTTCCTTCGGGAAATCATGAACTCGTTTGAGAAACGTATCGTCGTTTCCGACGAAATCGACGAAGAGGGATGGGCCGTGGCAAAAGAAAAATACGAAGGGTACTTTCAGCGGAAGGGGGCGTGAAAAAAGGACGCGGCGGCGGTGTAATAGGCGCGATCGCGCGGGATTAAGATTCTCTCTCACTCTCGCGCACTCTCTCCTCTCTCTCTCGACTATCGCGATATCCTTCGTCGCTTGCAGCATGTACTCTTCCCCAGCCTCGAACTCGTTACAGCCGGTCGGCTTCGTAAATTTCGTTAACGCCGGCTACCCCGCATTCTCCGGCCTTAACGAGCGTCCACGCGCTCGTTAGTATCCCTAAGGCCTCCGCTTAGGTACACCCTGTAAGTTAGCCGGGACTTGCTGCGCTCGCTAATTCGTAAGCGGCTACTCTCATTCGTCGGGAGGATGCAGCTCGCTCTCGTGGAACGAGGTGATGCATCCTTCCCCAGGAGCGCATTCACTGAGCGTCTCGTCGACGTGCGCGAATACGTGCTGGTGTTTTCGCGAAAAATTCTTCAATTCTTGCTAAATATACACGTGTGTGCGCGCGTGACTCGTTCTATAGTTTCATTTTATCAATCTTCCTCTTCTTCTCTTTCTTTTAATTTGATCTAGTATCTCCATTTTTATTTCGTTAATGCTGGAATAGTAATCGCACCGAAAGGAAAAATATTTAAGAAGTAAAAGAAGTAGGTGGGCCAGTAATATATATTTACTTACATTGATATAAAATATATTTCAAATAAGAAAATATGCATTTTCTTGAAATCTCAATTTATCATGAAAGCAATTGTTTACTCTACTTAAAAATTTAGAGTTACGTAAATATATTATTAATTCATTCACAGGATAAATGTTTTCATTTCGTAGATATTTCTTCTTTCACACAACGCAACACACAATATGAGTACGGCTGGAATTATGAAATTAATGTTTCTTCACGATGGTGTTCTTACAATATTCTAAAGCGAGCCTGTTACGCGTAACATAATTAAGCGTCGCGTAACACGCGCATCCTTCATATAGGAGTGGATCAATTTGCATAATTTACACCTTCACACCCAGGTTGACTAATTTCGTCGATTTTTATCTCGGTTCTAGAAAACAAAATCATTTTTTAATTCCCTCCTCGTACGTGCATACGGATCTGCAATACTTAACGTCACGATAATTTGCGCCGTGCGTGAAGTCGGTGATGCATACGAAGGCTGGGAAACGTTTCTCGGCGTCAATTACGGCGCGTCCGTTTAAGATCCGCGTGCTCTTCACGACCGCATATTCAGAGCAGACATTTCTCAGTTCGCGGGACGGTGTTATTATCCTGCCTTCTTGGATTTTTCGGGAAAAAAGATCGCTCGGACTTTGAAGCGTACGTTCGCGTCGTCGAAGGAACGATGCCCCGACGAGGCCGCAGCCCCGCTCAAGCTGGAGGCTGCGTCCCTGTTACCGCGCGTACATATCGATTTCTCGAGTATCGAGCTACCCGGCACAGCATTAGCATGGCAAAGAGGACGCCAATTTGGGCCTGATAAGCGGCCTGCTACGAGAAGCCAAGATAGGACACTGTTCTATCGATTGTTGCGAGCCGCTCTCTTTCCCGCCCTCTCTATTACAGCTATTCGATATACCCGCGCGCCGCGTTTTCCCACTTAATGTATTATTTTTCGGTCTGAAGCGGCGGGGAGGGAGAATGGGGCGAGAGGGGGGAGGGCAGAGAACAAGCGCGCGCGTTATCCTCGACACGACGGGATCGAATTCGCAAAAATGACGAGGTAACGAGGG